AACCCCCCATTTGATTGTTCTATGCTGCTTGTAGGGACGCCTCAAGTGGTATAGTTGTAAATATTTCTTGTATATATATTTTTTATTTAACATTTTTAGGCCAGCAGTACTTCTATTAGTACTGTAAAGAGAGATTGTGCAATAGAGTTTTGAGTAGGCACTGAGCTGTGTGCTGTAACAGGGAGATTTATATATTGGACTTTTATTCATTTTATTTTATATATTTATTGGACACAACCCGAGCTGTAATTGAATTTACATGCTCGCAATATCAAAAGAAAATCAAAAATCAGAGGTTTCTATTAATATAAATTTGATATGAAAATTTTTTTTAATTGCTTTCAATATTAAGTGACAAAGTTAATTTTTGATCCATTAAAAATCCAATTACAAAAATCCATGAACTCATTTTTCACTAAAAATCATTCCAATTTTCAGAATTTTTTAGCATTTATTACTTTATGTCCCACTTAATAAGTTCACCAAAATTTTGATGTATCAATACATAAACATTGTTGAAGCATAATGGACATTCATTTATCACATTGTGACTTTGATTTCATTGGCTAAATTTTACAATGATCACCCTCCAAAAAATCACACAAAAATCAAATTTTATTGGCTTGAAAATCTTTTACAAAAACAAAATTTATATGGGGCATTGGGGTGGTCAGTCAAATATGTAAATCAAAATTATATGTGGTCATATGAAAAATAATATACAGTCAACCCCCTCTAAGTGCACACCCCCTCTCCCCTGCACTGCACGGTCATTTTTCATATAAAACTCCCTCTCTAAGTGCACACCCGTGACCTCCATGTGATCGTTGTCCAGTAAAAATTGTGCAACGTTATAAAATTAAATAATTTGGGTTCCATCCTAGCAAAAAGATGCTTCGGGAAAAAAAGGGGTTTTTGAGAAATCAGCTGATTTTTGCTTTTCTCCCTATTTTTTTGTCAAACATTCCCCTGATTTTTATTCTAAAAATAAATTACTAACCCCTTTTTGTCCATA